AAAGGGGTACTATGCGGCCACAAATAAATATTTGAGGAAACTAATAATGCGCAGGTTCAATATATATTTCCCCTAATTGAGTCCCCGGGCTCCGTACTTTTTTCATAGAACAATTCGGAAACGATATTAAATACAGACAGTTTTCTTGGTGCTTTTATTTTGATAGTATAACCCGGAAGTTGTTTAATATGCATTAAAGCTTCCGGAAGTAGCGTATCCTGTTACTTCAACTAGCTCTGGCTGAATATAGATCATTAGGCATAAAATGTATAACTAAACAATTCAGATAGTTTTATCATCGCATATTAGATGTTCTAGCTTACGGATCCAAGAAGAACGATTATACGATGTAAACTCAGAGAATAACAACTAACTGGAGACGCGGTGAATTTAATCCAGGTGAGATGAGCTGGCTGTTCACATGTCATTTTGATATCGTTATTTGTTATCTTTGCACATAACTGTTTACATGTGATTAATCACAGCGCCTCCATCACTGGTTCACTAACTGACCACAGGTTTCCTTTCCGGACCGCAGATTTAAAGGTTTCTTGGGGGAAAAATAAATAGTTTGTCAAATTGTTTTTGGTATTATTGGAATAAGTTCTTTACAGGTGCTGTTTATAGAATTAGAATATCATGAAAGAGTGGACTTATTTTAGTAAAAAATAAAATTTGTATTTTATAGCATACTGATTCATCACACACACACACTCGTTCTGCCATCGTAGTGAGGACCATGTGTTGACTTGAGTGTTGACCATTGATTTTCAGTCATTTTCAACCCTTTCTCTCCCCTAACCCTAAACCTAAGCATTACCAATGCATGCCTCACCCTAACCCTTACCAATTGACACCTTAGCCCTAAACCTAACCATTAGCAAAATAGCATGTGAGGACCAGCAAAATGTCCTCACTTTGCAATAACTGGTCCTCAATTTGATGGTGAAATTGGAAAAATGGTCCTCACTCTGAGGGCTAGACAGGTACACACACACACACACACACACAAACTTGCCTTATTATCTTTGTGGGGGATTTCAATTGACTTCCATTAATTTCTACAGCCTAACAATGACTCTTACCCTAAACCTAACCATTAAAACTCAGTTTGTCTTGAATGTCACCCCTGACCCCAAAACAGCAATATCCAGGCACAGGGGTGCAATTTCGATTCCTGGGTCTGCATGGAGTTTGCATGTTCTCCCTGAGCATGCGTGGGTTCTCTCCGGGTACTCCGACTTCCTCCCACAGTCCAAAAACATGACTGTTAGGTTAATTGGTTTCTCTAAATTGTCCTTGAGTGTGTGCGTGAATGGTTGTTTTTCCTGTTTGTCTCTGTGTTGCCCTGCGATATTCTGGCGACCTGTCCAGGGTTTACCCCGCCTCCCGCCTGTAGACAGTTGGAGATAGGCACCAGCACCCCTCATGACCCTGCTTGGGATTGGTATTAGGGTTGGTATTGGCAGTAGGCCACTCACACCGAGCCTGGTTCTGCTGGAAGTTGGAAGTTTTTTTACCTTTTCACTGTCACTGCATGCGAGATCCTATTCTCAGAGGTTGGAGCGGTCTGCTGCTCTAGTCAGCGTTAACCAATAGGGAGACATCCTACATCATTCCTTATTAGACCCCACCCAGGATGTTCATGTTCCCAGGACTCAAAGCTCTGTGAGCTCAACCAAAGATAAGGAGCATCAAAAGCAAAGTTTTGAGAATCTCAACCAAAGCAGTTCTGACTTGCATGAATAAAAGTTTATGATTTGCAAATAACTTTTTCTCTTTGTGAGAAAAATTGAGTCATTTAAATTTAAGAAATAGCTTTTAGACAAAACTTCCCCCACCCAAAAATATAGTATTACAAAAAAATGTAATTTAAATTTCAAAAGTCTTGACTATAATTACCAAAGAAATGTCATTAAAATTTCAAAAGTTTTGACCACCATTTATTTTGTTTTCATTGAAATAAGTTTTTGTTTGTTTGAATAATATTGAGACAAATTGATCTCCATACTCCAGAGCAGCCATCCTGTCCTGTGAGCCAAAGAAGATAGCAGAGTATTCAAATACTAATTTTTTCCTCACTTTATACTGAAAGGAAGTTATCTGATTTTTTTTTTATGACAAAAGAGTGTGAAAATTGTTGTTTTATTTTGTTTTAGTAATTCTCCTTGCACAGAACAAGTCACCAAGGACACCCGTCTAGGAGAACCACCAGGAAATCCGCTCACTGCCTCTTTTATATTGAACTGAAATAAAAATATGTTCTTTGGAATCTGATTGTGTAGGTTACATCATGGCTGATGACCCTCAGAGAAACTTCCGCTCTGCGTATTATGAAAAAATGGGCTTTAGAGGAGTGGAAGAGAAGAAATCACTGGAAATACTTCTTAAAGACAACCCGCTTGGTAGGAAACACTTTTCAGTCTGATTGCAATTCTAACATTTCCTTTTGCTTGGTTAAAGACCATATATCGTAAACTGGGTTTGGTAGTTTTTACTAAAAAGTAACATCACTTTTTGTCGAACTGGATGAAAGATGCATGTTTAAGTGGTAATCATTAAGTTTGTACAACTAAACCAAATTAATAGTTTTGTGATGATTGATCTCAGTTGCACCTCTATTGTACGGTAATATTGATTATTTTAACTGTAACAGCCACCTCATTCATGGTATTAACTGGCCACACCCACTGCCAAAAACCCAGCAAGTCTCCACCACTTCAAAATAAACCCCCTTTCCTCTAAAAGCCATAGGATTTAAAGCCCAGGGGCTTGCATTACCTTGGTAAAAGGAATCATGGGTAATTTGTTCACGTGCTTACCCATTGATCAGAAAGCTAATAGAACAGCATTATACGAACCTCTAGCTTTTATGCATGGACCCGACTTAAAGCATCTTTTATCCATCAGCTCACAGCAATTGTATAAGATGAGCAGAAACCAACAAGTGGTGGAAACCGATTCCTGTTTACTTGAATTATTTGTTCAAATGAACATTGTGTTTTAAAAAAAAAAAAAGTTTTACATCAAATACTGAAGAGATAGCAAGCTGTCTACTCCATTATACATCAAAGCATATCTCTTTAACCTTTGACATGATTCTTACAGTACTGTATACAAACTGCTGGCAGCGATATCTGATACATTCTACGCTAGAAAGCTGCATTGAAATCCTCTTTATTAGCAGAACTAATGGAAACTATAAAGAACGGCAATTCATGTTTTATAGGCCAGAATTGATGGACCTAACCAACACAACTGATTAGTTTTATTGTTTTGCAGATCTAGAGAAACTCAGTACCTTCAGTCAGAGGTTCCCTCTCCCCTCCATGTATAGGATTCACGTTTGGAAAGTGCTGTTGGGTAAGGAAGCGCACCCACAAATTCACCTTAATGTCCTTTGGCTTATAGGTTTATACCCTCGTTAAAAACAAAGGAAATCATTAAAAATACACAGAAAATTATTTCTTATGAAAGAGGTGTGAGCCAAAGATGTAGTCTAATGGCAGAAATATATCAGTCTGAATTGACTCCACATCATTCTACACAATTACTTAATTCTGTAAATGTCATCCTCCTGTAAAAGTAATCTGATATATCACCTTATTAGACTGTATTTATTTAGAAACACTTTTCATTAGCACAATATAGCCACTGCCTACACCTTAATTTTGAAGCAATGCAGTCATAAAAGGATTTAACTAGACCCTTTCTTATTCCAGATGATTTCAGATGGAAAATAGTTCCTGGATCTTTCTATAAAGGCAGGAATTTTGGCAGTTCACTCTTCAAGAACAAACTAGCTAAAGACATCATCACTAATCCTTTAAAAAAAAGCAACTGTTTTATAGTCAGGAGGGGCTGGAAGGCCATTTTAAAATGCCCTTTAGACCTCATAAAAAAATTTAAATTTTGTTTTTTCATAGCAGATTGGACAATTTCCCATTTTTTTCGAACCTCACAAAATTAAAAAATCATAATCATTTTGTTCTCAGACAATGCTTACCGTATGCCTGCTCCAAAGGCCCTCAAGTTACAACCGTCTAGATAACGAAAAGCCGTCATATTTTTAGGGGGTAGGGTATAGATTTTTCTATAACTTCTTAAAAAATAAACTTAGAGAGGTTGGCAATAATACCATTGAAAAGCTAAAAAAAAAATCCCTACTAGTCCAGGTAAGAAAATCTACAATTTGTTTTTTTTGCATATATTTGTACATTACATATTTAAAAAAAATATGGCAAGGATTAAAACATTAAAAATTGTATAGCTTTTTACATTAACAAATTGGAAGTTGTGTTGTTTTTGTTCTGCCTTGTTCTGAAGTTGCTGCCATCTTTGCATCAAAATTCATAATAAAAACCCAAAATCTGTGATTTATGTAATTTAATGGATACAACATGAATAAAGAAAATACCAATATCTTTGTACAAAGTATAAACAAAACAATAACTTTATTTTCATCAGAGTTGAATTCTACATTATGATTTTTTTATATAATACAAGATTAAAAAAAAAAAAAAAATGAAAATTTCTTTTTTACGGGTATTTCTTTTAAAATATGTAATGTACAAATATATGCAAACAAAACATACTGTATATATCTTTACATGGACTAGAAGAGAAAAGTTTTAAATGGTATTATTGTCAACTTTGTAAGTCTATTTTTTAGAAGTTATAGCAAAATCTATACCCTTCCCCCTAAACATATGACAGTATTTCGTTATCTAAACTATTATAACTTGAGGGCATTTGGGGCAGGCATAAGCATTTTCTGAAAACAAAATTATGATTTTTGAGTTTGAGAGGCTTGAAAGAATGGGAAATTGTCCAGTCTGCTTTGAAAAAATAAAAATAAAAAATTCTGAAGAAGTCTAATGTCCTTTAAATCATTCAATAAAAAATGGAAATTTCTTTTTGTTTCACACTTATGTAAACAAAATGACAAATAAAAAGTCTGAGGCTAAGTCTAATAAAAAATGAAGACAATATAACATATTTTTCACTTGTGAACATTTAAGATTTATTCTGGAATTGGACCTGGTGAGGAATTAGAGAAAATACTCGGATCTGCTTCTGAAACTCTACAGTTATTGATGAGCATGTTAATCTTTTAATCATGATAGGTAAATTGATCAAATATAGCTATAGTTCATTTAGAAAGGGTTTTGCTTAAAAACCTCTCTAAAAAAGAACTTTGCAGCGTCACCTCTAAATGTCTATATAATGATAAAATCAGTCTAAAAACTAACAATAGAAGTTACAGCTGCTTAACATGACACAATAAAATAGTGAATAGTCTCCCTATTCCTGCAGGAATCCTTCCTCCTCACAGTGACTCCCACTCTTTGGTTGGAGGCTACAGGAAGGAGCAGTACCAGGATGTCATGACTGCTTTGACGGTGATGAGGTACATCAACCCATCTACACCCTCCACTCACATCTACCTGCGCATGTTCCAGCTGGAGAGCCAAGTTCTTCCACGATGCTCTGAGATCTTACCGCCGGTAAGATAAATTCAAGTTAGAAAGATGATAAACTTGTGTAGTTTTCACATAATTAAAGCCGACTCCTTCCATACTTGTAATCTTTTGCTTTTTTAGTGGCATGCTGAGTTATAGCCTGCTGAAGCCAGCAGTTTCAAAGAACCATCAAGAAAATATTAACCAGTTAATTGGAGCTATTTCTACCTGTAATGGTAGAAGGAAACCTGATATATTGGATATTTCATGGGAATGGGTTATAATATAGCACTGTTGATTATATAGGAATAAGCTAGAATATAACAGTATTCACAAGTTAGTGGCTGCTATCCTAATAATTTAAAGAAGTAAATAACTAGTTGATTGCATACACTTTAAAATGAATAGAATGTTGGAAATGCACAAGAATGTTGTTTTTCTTTAGCTTTCTTTATATAGCTTACCAATTAGGGTGACCAGAAAACTTTCAGCGTGCTAAATGTCACAATAACTTTTTTATCATATCTTAAATCAGACATTTGCATACGATTACAATGTAATTTAGGGAAGCTCAAAAAGAGATGTGCTGTTATAATAAAGGATTCTCAGCAGCATAATTCAATGTAGCGGGCTGCTATACTGAATAAGTCCCCACTATGCTGAAATCCAGACCACTATGTTCGTTTTTTGAGTATGTTGACCTATTTGCACATCTATGTAAGAAAAATCTCTGTGAAAACGGGGGATCTCACTCCCTTCAGCCTCTGTCATCGTCTCAGCCTTTGAAAGCAGGGATGAAGTGACTAGGTTCAGAAGGGTTCTCAAACAGTTGGTGTATTATGCCTAAACAACCCATGGGTTAGGTTTTTATGTTTTTTCAGTTCAGTTTATTTATATAGCGCCAATTTACAACACACGTCATCTCAAGGCACTTTACAGTTCAACCTGATCATACAGTCAAATTGATTCAAAGTTTTCTATCTAAGGAAAAACCAGCTGATTGCATCGACTCATTGACTCAAATGCAATCCCTCACACTAAGCATCCTTGTAGCGACAGTGGAGAGGAAAAACTCCCTTTCCCTAGCCAATAAAATGCAACATTGCTGCAGCGGTACTCTGCCGCCTTACAGCAGCTGCAGCTGGATTAGAACAATGTCTATTGGTCAGTCTGATATGGCCTCCAACATGGAGAGAAGATTGAAATCATAAATGATTATATAAGGTATTTGGTGCTGGTCCTTAAGGTCTCTGAATAGGGTGTGTAACATTGGTTGGACTGAAAATGGCATATTTGCTGTTCTATGGTCGGTTCAAAATGGTGGCAATTTAGATTTTTGCCAAAATCGTTCAGCCCCACTTTCAACTGTGTATGTTAAAAAGTTGAGCCTGTAAATAAAGACAATTTTGTTAATAGCTAATTCTGACTGCAACACTTGATTTGCCTCTCCAAAGTGTTACTATGTTGTATTTTCAGGATGAGCAGAATGAAGACTTCCTGGCCATCAGCAGAGCCATGGAGGAGATAGTTGATGATCCCATCGACTGCTATTGGCTGATCAAGTGTTTCATTAATCAGTTCCACACCAAGTTTGGAGACTCGCTTCCTCACCTTGTAAGTGTTGTTAGTTCCAAGCAAAAAGAAAAATGCTGTTAAGCTGTAATATATTTAGTTTGTTTTTGAAAATTGAAATGCTGCGATTAAAATATGTGATCCACTGATTTATCGTTGTTTTAAATGCAGTAAAGCTTGTCCACAAATCAGATAAGATGGCCGAGTTTAGGCTAGGCTAAATTTACAAACATGCTTCAAATAATAATTTCCTTTCATAACATTTAATTACAAGTTACAGGGTTAATTTAAATTATTATAGTGTATCTTAAAGTATCTCTGTAGAGATTTTTATCTTATCGTTTTGATCAGGAACAAACTTCTTGGTTAAATTAGAATAATTTTAAATGGGGCATGGTCGCATGCCATGACTAGCTTAAAAAATACATAGCATATAAAAATCTTGACTACCAACTATGCTGTTGTACCTTATTGAAAATTATGCACAGCTGATGCACATATGACAAAAATCAAGCTGGTTAGGAAGGCGGTGGTACAGGTTAATGTGCCATTTTGACCTATGGGCTTAAACCAGTAAAGACACTTCAGCTATGGTAGAGGTGCATCAGTGGTCACCATAATAAGTTGCTATCCAATCAGTGCTGGCATCAAGGAAGCAGGAAGCAGCATTCTTCCTAGCGCCAGTGCAGTTAGCATAGGGACCTCCTGATGTCCCTAGCCGCCACTAGGAGTAAATGGTTTCCCACAATCGTTTGTGACAGACTGTATAGTCAGCCCACCTCAGGGAGTTTAACAAAAATATATTATTTCCTGACATGTACTGTGAGGTATGCTAATAGCACACCTTAATGTTTTGTAAGATCTTCAGCTGTTAGGTACATTTATGTGACTTATTTTTTGTAGTTCTTTTCCTGTTGGCTGTAGTCCCAATTTGTCCAGCATCATTCCTGTGCGTGTCCTTTATTTAATGACACCTGTAGGACTGAAGGCTGTCTGGGTGTAGCACAGCAGTCTGGAGAGTTCTTACTGTTCACCCTTTTAAAAGGGAAGGGACAGGAGCTAGGAGATCATTTGAGGTATCTGGATCGAGCCTTGGACCTTTGTCTTCCCTCAGTCTATTCACACCATTTCCTATTATACCAGTTTTTAAAAAAAGGCCAGTGTACCAACCATAAATCATCATGGCTTTGTCAAGCTGCTACCTACCTATGTTAAGCAGGAAAAACACTAATACAAACTGAATCCAGAACTTTGTATTGCCTACCTGGAATGGGGGACAATAGTTGAATAAACTTTTGGCTCTCAAAATGGTGTCTGTGCCCTATTTGTTGGTACTCGCCGATACCGATACCACCATTTTAGTGCTGGATCGGGGCCCCGGCCGATACTGGTATCGGTGTAACACAAATTTAGGGTATTTGTTAGTTGCTCAGTCATCTATTTAGATAAAAACAACTATGAAACATGTCAGATTTGATTCTGTTAACATTTCTTTTAAAATAAGGATTGATATTTTAGAATGCTGATGACTGAATTTATTTTTTTTTAAGGCATACCCTTATAGAATGATGGGTTTTCATTGAATCAAAGGAAGAACTACTTAGTTTGTCTCGTTTCAGCCTCTGCACTGTATTGTTGTACAGTTGGGTTAATTCGGTACTCTTCACCCAATATTTGTCAAGTGCATCTGTAACAGTGGTTTGGTCTCATTTAAGCTCTAAGGCAACAATCTGACTTTAAAATTAGTTTTTCTTTTGATGCTTTCTTATATTATTGTCTCAATAAAAGAAATGTCACAAAGGTCAGGGAACTTTAGGGGTGCAGTTTTTGAATGATTTCTTCCCACCACCATTTTTATCACCCGACGGTTGATGTGTTTGAATTAGCTGGTGAGCTCCTTTTTTTTTCTTTATATACTTCTTGCTGGATAATTTATCATACAGGCATTTATGCTGTTGAATAACTGAAGCTCACTGACTTAGACATTAGTTAGCTAAATGTTGGCATCAGTTTTAAGTTATTTTTGAATCTGTCGGGGTTATTCCGTTGCAGCC